TCCAGGCAGTAGTGAGTGAAGGAAGCCCAGTACAGTTTAAGAGACGTAATTAGACATTAATAATGGATTATTAGTGTTTTGAGTAACTACCCCAACACTTCTTGTCACTCACTGAAAAACGACCCTGGATGAACAAACACGTTCACATCTGGTTCATCAAATAAACCCACTGTTCTGACTCCAGCAGGCCACACAGGACAAGACCATAACCAAATATGTTTACACTAACCCTGCGGCTTATTTCACTAGCCTGCCCCGTCTGCTTCCTCTGGGGCTCTCACGGCAAGGAGAGTGGGAGGAACGACAAAAAAGAGAAGAAAAAGAGAGGAAAGAAGAGCCCTCTTAGTTCTGTCTCAGGAAACCGGGCCTCTACATGAAAAAGCATGGCATTCCAGAAAGCGCTGGGGAGCGAGGTGGAAGACGGGACTGTGGAGAGTTTTGGAAGAGAAGCTCACAGCTGGATGAGCGTTTAAAGAGCCCACAACATCGGGAAACTTAGTTCTTCACCTTTTTATAACAATGCATTTCAAAATGTACCCAGTCCATATAGTCTGTAAATAATTGGGAGATACTAAATGCACCCACTGTGTGTGCATACCCATGATGCATGGCACAAACAATCAGAGTCGAGTTGATCCATGTCAAACGAAGCATCAGTTGAGTGGGTCAGTTGTTCAGATGGAGCTGTAGTTAATGAACTGGCTAACTTAGCATGTTGTGAGATTTTGGGGTGACCTTATTTTGCAGTGTTATTAAGTTCAAGTTTACATTTAGTTGACTTTTGCAGACAGTCGTTGTCTGAAATATTAATAAAGTTCAAAAGGAACTGTATATCACTGCTGTTGGAAGAAAACCTCATATCTCCATTTTTGGTGTTTTTCAGTTTTTGACATAATTTGAAAATGCCTGTTGCTCTTTACATTGTCTGTAAATTTCATGATGATTGGACTAAAAGAAACGGCCCAAAATGACTTGGAGAAAATTCTGGTTCCATTGACTTACATTGAAAGTAAAGTCAGTTTTTTCCTTCTCCTGTAAAGTTACCATTTTGGAGATATGAGGTTTTCCTCCGAGAACAGCGATATGTGTTCTATGCTAAGCTCACTGCAAAAAATGGTGTCTTGTCAAGTAAAATTATCTTAAATATAGTGAAGAAATCTAACATTTCTCCTGTTGAGATTGTTCTAGGCTTAATTTAAGATTATTTTAGACATTTCTATTTGTTTTAGATCATTTTATTGAGTAAAATTATCTCACTAAACTGGCAGATAATGTTGCTTGTTTTAAGAAATTAACTTGAAACCAGCAAAATTATCTGCCAGTACAGTGAGATAGTTTTACTCAATAAAATGACCTAAAACAAGTAAATAATGTCTTGAAATTAGCTAGATAATCTTATAATAGCAGGGGAAATATTAGATATATCGACTAGATTTAAGATCATTTCACTTGATAAGACATTGTTTTTTGCAGTGCAAACCTGGCTACTTGCTAATTGTAACTTCATGCTACGCAGCTAGCCACTGAGCCAAAGTTATGGACAGTGTTTCTTATTTGTTATCTCACTTTACAGTGAGAAAATTTGCTGAATGAACCAATTAAGACTAATTAGCTGCTCAATGGTAACACTGAAGAGTTTAAAGGTAAGACAGAAAGGCATCTTAGTAGTTAAATTTGATATACAACCCCTGTTTCCAAAAAAACGTTGGGAAGCTGTGCAAAATGTAAACAAATATAAAATTGCAATGTTCAGCAAATCATGTAAACATGATATTTAATTGATATTAGTCTTTTTACTATTTTGAAACATTTAAACTGGGAAATTGTTGTTGAATTGAAATGTTTTTTAGACACTGTGTTGCATCACCTCTTCATTAAAAAAAAAAATGTTTTTTAACAAGTACAAGAAGTATCCATGAGCAGTGAGTATGTGTATATGTCAGTGTATTATGGACATGCAGGCCCAGCGGGTGTGTTTAGTATCTTCCTATAGAAACTGAACCAAAAGCAGCCTGTTCTGAATAATTCATCATGGTTGTGATGTCACAACCATGAACACGTTCACATATTCAGCCTACAGTAGTTCAGCCCCGCCCATTCACATTTAAAACTGGACTGCTTTTTTGATCTAGGCAGAATAGAGAACAGCCAATCAGAACAGAGCTCATTTACATACATCAGTCTCAAAGGCACAGTAACCAAAACAGCCTGTTTTATCTGATGGGATAAAGAGAAGTTGGATCATTCTTGTAGAAATTAATCATAATGGTTTTTGTTAGATAAACTCACACAAAGGTCTTAAGTGAAGCTCAGCAGATAAAAATAAAAGGCAAGGCGAGGAAAAATTTTAGGCGCTTTAAGCCTACCTACTTTCGCTAATGGCTTTCGCATTCCTCTACTGCTCTACAAAGCATCGTTAACTCAGTATCAGCTGATAAACTATGAGTTTATGGTGCAAACAGGAATCACTGGCTTTCAAAGTCTTTTAAAAGGCTTTAAAAATCAATCCCTGCAAAACTGCACCACCAAATCCTGTTCTCCATACGTTTCCATGAGAAAACGTACCAGTTGGCCTGAGGGTGGCGCTCTTTAAGAAGCTCCTGATTGGGCCTTTGGAGACCTGGCTCACAGAGTAAGGTCAGCTAAAGGTGAGCCGGACTGAGTCACTAATCACTTCCACATTAGATCAGTGGAAAGCTGCCACTGATTAAGCAGATATGTGCAACACACGCAGGTTTGTGTTAGTATACTTATAGGGACTTAACGTTGATTCTTAGGAATGTCCTGATCTGGTTCTTCTGATCCAAATGAACAAAACACCACACTATGTAGCTGAACCTTGCATGTGGTGCCAAAACGCCACCTCCCCCACAGGTGAGAGAAGCATTTGGGTGACTATTGACTACTAGTGTGTTATGCTCCACTCTGTTTTTGAGTCATCACCACTCGCTCCAGTCTGTGCTCCATTCGATGCTCCAGTCCATGGTCCAGTCCGTGCTCCAGTCTGTGCTCCATTCGATGCTCCAGTCTGTGCTCCAGTCCATGTCTGGTCATGACGTCATCAGGTGGGAAGAACAAACGAGGCCTCATCAGCTCCACAAACAGCTCTTTCTCACTTGTTTCTTGTTTGATTATTCTTTGACTGCTTTGAGGCTTCTTTATGTTGACCTCGATTTAACCCATTCAAACCTGGTAGCTTGATGTATATTTTATATACAGATTCCATTTTTGTTTATTTTGTAAACAGCTTCGCCATTTTGTTTGGACTTTAGGTTTTAAGATTAAGTGACCCTTATTAGTCCCACAACAGGGAAATTTCACCTTCACATTTAACCCATCTGTGCAGTGAAACACCACATACACACTAGTGAACACATACACTAGGGGGCAGTGAGCATACTTGCCCGGAGTGGTGGGCAGCCCTATCCATGGTGCCCGGGGAGCAGTTGGGGGTTAGGTGTCTTGCTCAAGGGCACTTCAGTCACGTACTGTCGGCTCAGGGAATCGAACCGGCGACCTTCCGGACACAAGGCTGGTTCCCTAACCTCCAGCCCACGACTGCCCCAAGTCATGGGCCGGAGGTCAGTTTTGTTTTGGTTAAGGCTGGTTAGTATCTATGTTGGAGTTGGTGTGAGTTCTGTCTGTTGTTTTGGCCCACAGTCTAACTGGTGACTGCACGGAACAGTCAAACCACTTGTCATGCCTCCCGCCGGCTTAGCAGGGACCAACACTCCTCACTCCATTCAGAACTCCAACTCCCAGAATCCTCTAGGGGAGAACATGACCGCAGACTCTGAACTATCCACCTTTCCGTGCTCCCTGTTCACCTGATGATTGATTGTTGACACCTGTTCTAGTGCCTTTATAACCTGTTGTTGTCTGTGTTACCGAGCCGTTATTTCTGTGTTCGACTTCCCAGTTTTGTTTTCTTGCTGAGGCCTTTTTGACTCTGTTTTCTCTTTCGTGTAGCGATCTTTAGCTCGTATTCTCTCCTTCTGATTTACGATTCTGGATTAGCCTTTACTGAACATTTTAACCACAGCCTGACTCTTTCAAAGCAGCTAAAACACTACACATACATTCATGAAGCATATGTTTCTCACCACACCATTCTTTTATGGCCTGACCATAGATTGGGTCATAACAAGTGACATTAGTAATGTTAGCTTTGAAGCTCTGGTGCTCAACTAAAGAAGGAAAATTTGGACACCACTCATGTCTTGGCTTAACTTAACTATAAAAGGATGAAGGAAACACAATTCCTGAAGGAATGTGTTGTCTTCCTCTAGATGAGACTCCACACATGTCCACCAGCCCTGTCTGTTCCCACTGTTCTCAATCAGGGAAAATAACAAAGCAGGAAACATGCATTCAAGTCGTGTTTCACAGTTTCTCATTAAATTGAATGAATAACTGACTCTAAATGTAGGTATTGTGATATAAACTCAGTCTGATCTACAGTTTCTCATTAGGCTGAATGAATAACTGACTCTAAATGTAGGTATTGTGATACAAACTGAGTCTGTTCTACAGTTTCTCATTAGGCTGAATGAATAACTGACTCTAAATGTAGGTATTGTGATATAAACTGAGTCTGTTCTACAGTTTCTCATTAGGCTGAATGAATAACCGACTCTAAATGTAGGTATTGTGATATAAACTGAGTCTGTTCTACAGTTTCTCATTAGGCTGAATGAATAACTGACTCTAAATGTAGGTATTGTGATATAAACTGAGTCTGTTCTACGGTTTCTCATTAGGCTGAATGAATAACCGACTCTAAATGTAGGTATTGTGATATAAACTGAGTCTGTTCTACGGTTTCTCATTAGGCTGAATGAATAACCGACTCTAAATGTAGGTATTGTGATATAAACTGAGTCTGTTCTACAGTTTCTCATTAGGCTGAATGAATAACCGACTCTAATTGTAGGCATTGTGATATAACAACTGGGCTGTGGTTTAAGGGTTGCGCGTTAAAGAAGGCCTTGTATTCGTACCTGCTGAAGGTCCAGTGTGATGGTAACATAATGGTGCTCCATTCCGTTCTTTATGCTGGGACTCTGCCACCACTTGTTGGTTCCGTCGATGGCGTATTCGATGGGGTGCCGCTCTGCAGACCAAACAGAAGGTGGAACAAGAAGAAGACGTGAATGTAAAGAAACTCAACATGGAGGATGGCATCATAAGAGCTCGGCGAAGGGAAAAGGTTTGTGTATTCACTGCCGTTGTTTTGGCGGTCGTTGGCATGCTACTTCAGAACTTATCGCAATGACCTTTTTGGAGGAGAGTCGCCGACTCTTATCACAGATTCCGAAGCGGCGAGGGAGCGGAGCAGCGGCCAGTCGGCCGGCCGGGGGGAGAAATGAGTGAAGCGAGCGTCTTTTTGGAGATCAGTTAGAGTCCTATCAGCTCTCTTTCTCAGGCGCAGATGGAGGGAGGAGGGATTGGGGGTGTCTGAGAGGCACTTAATGGAAAACGGAAGGAAAACAGGCACTTTTTATCAACAAATCTGCTATTTTCTAAATCCTTCCTTCATCCCCAAGGCTGCTTGTTTGTTATTCTCAAGTAATATGCCGCCATTTTTTCCCCCTCCTCATCAACTAAAAGGAAATCTGCAGCTCAGAGGCGAAACCGGGGTTCAAACGAACTGTAGTGGCGACCCATTTCTGCTCTAATTTCCATTACAGAAAATCTAATAAGCGTTCCTAAAGATGAGGTCAGGGAGAGTTTACACCCAGGATCAGCCGACGCCGTGCGAGTGAGAGAACAGATTATGTGCCATTATCCTGCAACAATGCCTTTTATTATCGCATACAGATGAGCTGCTTCAGTGTAACTATCTGCATGTTTACTGTATTTCACTGTGTGGAGAGCGTTTGCCCCGCGGAACTTTCTTACAGACGTTCTTCCAGAATAAACAAACAACGCTGAACACCAGGAACACAAAGCTGGCCCAGAAACTGAACTGACAACCCGGATAGCCCAGCATGACACCACTGAACACCAGCATTCGAAAGGTGGCAGCTTCAGACAGACAACGGTGTGAATGAGCAGAACATTCTAGAACAGTGTGAGAGGGGAACATTCCAGAACACTGTGAATTGAGGAGAACATTCTAGAATAGTGTGAATGAGGAGATCGTTTTAGAACGGCATAAACGGAAGAGCATTCCAGGACAGTGTAAACAGTGGAGGGTATTCTAGGAAGTAGGAATATTCTAAGACTGAGTTTGGGAGGACATTCTAGAACAGTGTGAGAGGGGAAGAACATTCTGGAACACTGCAAATTGGGGAGAATATCCTAGAACAGTGTGAGAGGGGAAGAACATTCTGGAACACTGTAAATTGGGGAGAATATCCTAGAACAGTGTGAGAGGGGAAGAACATTCTGGAACACTGTAAATTGGGGAGAATATCCTAGAACAGTGTGAGAGGGGAAGAACATTCTGGAACACTGTAAATTGGGGAGAATATCCTAGAACAGTGTGGGGGATCGCAATCTAGAATCATGAAAAAGGGCAGTACTTTCTAGAAGAGTGTTAATGGGGAGAGCATTCTAGAACAGTTTGAATGGAGGAAAGCATTCAGAGAAGAGTAAAAATGTGAGAGAACGTTCTAGAACGGTATGAACGGAGAAGAGCTACAAGAACAGTTTGAATTGGGGAAAATATTCCAGAACAGTTTGAAACACAGTAGAGCATTCTAGATCAGTGTGAATCGGGGAGAACATTTTAGAACAGCATGAATGGGAAATCATTGAACTGAATTTGGGGGAACATTCTAGACAAATGAAAGGGCTAGAACTTTCTGGGAACATGGCAAATCAGGAAGATCATAGAACAGTATATATTGGGAAGAACAATGTCAAAGAGTATGCATGGAGGACAGCATTTTAGAATAGTGTTAATACGAGAGAACATTGTATAAGATTTTAGAACAGTGTTAATAAGAGAGAACATTCCATAGATTTTAGAACAGTGTTAATACGAGAGAACATTCCATAAGATTTTAGAACAGTGTTAATACGAGAGAACATTGTATAAGATTTTAGAACAGTGTTAATAAGAGAGAACATTCCATAAGATTTTAGAACATTGTTAATACGAGAGAACATTCCATAGATTTTAGAACAGTGTTAATACGAGAGAACATTCTATAAGATTTTAGAACAGTGTTAATAAGAGAGAACATTCTATAAGATTTTAGAACAGTGTTAATACGAGAGAACATTCCATAGATTTTAGAACAGTGTTAATACGAGAGAACATTCTATAAGATTTCAGAACAGTGTTAATACGAGAGAACATTCTATAAGATTTCAGAACAGTGCAAATGGGAGAAAATATTCTGGAACACTGTGAATCAGGAAGAACATGCTAGAACAGTGTAAATGAAGGAGAACCTTTTAGAACAGTGTAAATAGAGAAAGCATTCCTAGAACAGTAAAAATGTAAGAGAACACTGTAGAACAATATGAATGGAGGAGAGCTCTCAAAAATGGTTGAATAGAGGAGACCATTCTAGAACAGACCGAAACAGAATAGAACATTCTAGCTGAGTGTGAAAGGGGTGGACATTCTAGAACAGTGTAAATAAGGACAATATTGTAAAGTTGTGTGAATCGGGAGAACATTTTAGAATGGCATGAATGGAAGAACATTGAACTGAATTTGGGGGAACATTCTAGAAGAGTGTGAAAGGGGCAGAACCTTCTGGAACACTGTAAATTAGGAAGAACATTCTAGAACAGTGTACACTAGGTGGAACAATCTAAAAAGTATGCACAGAGAAAAGCATGTTAGACCATTCTAGAACAGTTTGAAACAGAGTAGAATGTTCTAGATCAGTGTGATAGAACCCGAGAGGGAGTGTGTTATCGCCAATAACATCACGGCTGTGATTTGGTGGCCGTAGATCATCACAGCCGTGATGTTATTGGCGATAACACACTCCTCGAGTGTTCTATTGCTTTTATACAACAGTTAAATAAATACAGTAGTAAATTAATAAACTGGGCCGTGAACGCGGCGTTTAATATGTTTTAATGTTCGCAGTTCCTTCACCAAATTATAGTTCCTTAACGAGCAGCTTGTTGCTACGTCAGAGTAACGAGCTCCGCCCACTCGCTGCACAGCCGGCAGTTCATTCTCCAGCTCCACTCAGACCAACTGACAGTTTGGGAATTTAGTGGAGGCTCATCTTCAGAGTCTGACCAAATCGGACTGAGCCATAAAACAATATCAAGTTTAGCTCAGTTTTGTCAGTTTTTGCCAGATCAGTATTAATGTTGTTTTGCTCCAGCCAGTCTGTAAAGCATCTTACAGCCCATTTAGTTTGGCGAATGGTGTTGGGTTCATTTCTGGCTGATTCCAGGTTGTTCAGCTGTTCTTCTGTCTCAGCTGCCGACTGAAAAGCTGCTCAGTGGTGATGACAGTTTGGGAATTTAGTGTCGTCTCATCTTCAGAGTCTGACCAAATCGGCCGTCGGTCAAATGTGATCTTAAAAGTGTCCGTTTTCTGTTTGTGGCAAAGTAAGAAGTAAAAACGTTCAAATGGCTTGAGCGTCTCCTATTGCTGTCAAAGTCGTTGCTTAGCAACGGCGTCTCAATGGAGTGATACAGTGTTTGTGAAAAACCCGTGATGTTATGGTGAAATAACAGCACAGTTAGAACACCTCTCAACCAATCAGCTCGCGTGGCCGGAACTAACTGTTGTATAATTAGGCACAACTCTTGTATTCTGGTCATATTTGGTCATTGCCAACAAACAAATGTTCAAATTATTTGTTTGTACTCTGCAGATTTACTGTAATCTTTCTTAGACTTCTGAGAATTAAGAGAATGAAAGGTGTTAAATTGCAATTAAGTGTCTGCTTTTGAAATGAGTTTGGAATGAAAAAAAAAAAAACTCCACCTCACATTACAAAAATAATCATTATAATATGTTAGAATTTAAGTATAATAAAGAAAAACATGAAATATCAATTGTTCTACTTGAAGTGATGGCATTTTTTAATGTCTATAATGTTTCTATATATGTTTATATGAACTAAAGGTGTTTTATAAAATGGATAGTTCCAGTCCTAAAATCTGATTGGCTGAGCCGCATTTAAAGCAAGGTAAAATCAACTAACTGCGAATTATCACAGGGAATGTAGTTTTACTCCACTTCATGCCTAACAACACCCTTTCCTGTGATACAATTGCAGTAACCCACGGCCTCCTGTGGCTTATTGCCTAATTATAATTATCGTACAGGTCATTATCCTTTAAAAAGACATAATAAATAGCAACACTTGTGTTAATATATGTTTATAAATCATAAGAATGAATCATAACACATTATTATAGTCTTATGAGGGAATACTAGTGTTTCTACGCATGCTTACAAAGTATTATTACCAGGTTACAAAGAGTTCTAAGTGTATTTGTAACGGCTTGAATGAATACGGGCTTCATAAAAACGTCTCTTTTTCTAAATACAGCTGTCAGGATGAGCGGAGAGGTGAATTTTATAATTGGCGACGTGTGTGTGCACTTTCTCTCTAATGCCATTAGAGCCTGACAATATCAACCTCAATCAGAGACGCCCCCTCCCTCGTTACCACTCGCTTATTAATCAGGGAGCAAAAGAGAAGATTAAAGCTGTCTTCTTAATCGTTCCATTTCAAAGGATATTTTCTATTTTTAATTTATGAGAGAGATTTTTAGTTTCATTAAATAAGTTGGTTAACAGTCATCTCTCGCTCTATCTCTCTCTCTCTCTCTCTCTCTCTCTCTCTCTCTCTCTCTCTCTCTCTCTCTCTCTCTCTCGCGCTGTAATTTCTTCTAATTAGATGTTATAGTAATCATCCTCTCCGCGCTGTGCAGGTGGGTGAGGGCACGAATACGTGCCTGAAAGCATTTCTGTTTGAACAATGATCTGAGACATCGCGTCTGACTCATTACTCTGTACGTGTGGAGGTTCAGGGCTGATTTGTCACATGTAACTAGAATAAAAATCACATTTTTTCTTGGCAGCTGCGGCCCAGCGAATGTTCACTAATGAGCGTGACATTGTGAAAACAATACACAAGCGATATACACTTAAATGTAAACAAGGCACATTAACCCTCAGGGATGATCATATTCATTCACGCGTGTCTCAGATACGATGGGTGGGATTATGGAGAATCGTCTCAAATTAAATGAGTGGGATTATGGCGAATCATCTCAGACTCGACGAGCGAGATTATGGAGAATCATCTCAGATTTGATGAGTGAGATTATGGGGAATTATCTCAAACTTTATGAGTGAGATTATGAGGACTCAGAATTGATGAATGGCATTATGAAGAATCAACTTCAATGAGTAAGATTATAGAGAATCATCTCAGATTTGGTTGATGACATTATGGAGAATTATCTCAGATTTGATGAGTGAGATTATGGAGGACTGTCTCACATTTAATGAGAGAGATTATGAAGAACTGGCTTGGATTTGATGCGTGAGATTATGAAGAAATATCTTGACTTGAGTGATATTATGGACAATTATCTCAGATTTTATGAGTAAGATTATGAAGGATTATCTCAGGTTTCACAAGTGAGATTATGTAGAACTGACTTGGATTTAATGAGTGAGTTAATGGAGAATCACCTCAGATTTGAGGAGTGAGATTATGGAGAATTGTCTCAGATTTAATGAGTGAGTTAATGGAGAATCACCTCAGATTTGAGGAGTGAGATTATGGAGAATTGTCTCAGATTTAATGAGTGAGTTAATGGAGAACTGTTTCAGATTTGATAAAGGAGATTATGGAGAACTGTCTCAGATTTGATGATCAAGATTCTGGAGAATCACTTCAGATTTGATGAGTGAGTTGATGGAAAGCTGTCTCAGATTTGATTAATTAGATTATGGAGAATCATCTCAGATTTAATGATTGAGTTAATGGAGAACTGTTTCAGATTTGATAAGTGAGATTATGGAGAATCATCTCAGATTTAATGATTGAGTTAATGGAGAACTGTTTCAGATTTGATAAGTGAGATTATGGAGAATCATCTCAGATTTAATGATTGAGTTAATGGAGAACTGTTTCAGATTTGATAAGTGAGATTATGGAGAATCATCTCAGATTTGATGATTGAGTTAATGGAGAACTGTTTCAGATTTGATGAGTGAGATTATGGAGAATCATCTCAGATTTGATGACTGGGATTCTGGAGAATCACCTCAGATTTGATGAGTGAGTTGATGGAAAGCTGTCTCAGATTTGATTAATTAGATTATGGAGAATCATCTCAGATTTAATGATTGAGTTAATGGAGAACTGTTTCAGATTTGATAAGTGAGATTATGGAGAATCATCTCAGATTTAATGATTGAGTTAATGGAGAACTGTTTCAGATTTGATGAGTGAGATTCTGGAGAATTACCTCAGATTTGATGAGTAAGTTGATGGAAAACTGTCTCAGATTTGATTAGTTAGATTGAGTTTATATCAGTGTCCAGCAGCCTCACCCGCAGCTTGAATACCACAAGCAAAAACAAGGTAAGTTACAGGTGTGTGATGTAAAATGATGCACAAATTACACAGATAGTTTTCTGCAATAAACAGTAATAACCCAGTAGAACCAAGTAGAACCACAGTAAGAATCACTGCTTTCTTTTACAGGCCAGAGTCAGTTTAGTTCACAGCTAAAGCTACATGCTGTATAAAACTCTTAATACTTTATTCATGTATAATCTTTTTCATCATATATCTACCCACCACTTTATATCCAAAATAATTACACAGTACTGTGATGTTTGTACCACACACCTACCCGGTTTATATCTAGAACCCGTTGGTCTGCCTTGATACTCAATATCATGTTAGCCAAAATAATTAGCTAGTTCTTTGTAATAATAAATAAGTAATAATATGTACATAAGTTATACTATGATAAGACAGCTTGCTATGATAATCGAGCAGGTGTGCGGTAGCAGAACAGAACATGTATGTGTGTGTGTGTGTCTGTGTGTGTGTGTGTGTGTGTGTGTGTGTGTGTGTGTGTGTAAAGCTGGGCATGGGAAAATGTGTGTTGCACTGGAAAAATGGGGGGTTGGAGGGGTGAGGGGTGAGGGGGCGCTGTGTCGGACACTCATATGCCCTAGATATGCAGCACATAGGCATGCAAGCATAAATCAGACACTATTCAGCTTTTTCTCATTAAGTGCGTGTGTGTGTATGTGTGTGTGTGTGTGTGTGTGTGTGTGTGTGTGTGTGTGTGTGTGTGTGTGTAATGGCCATTGATTTTTGGAATGCTCAGATTTATGAGCTGAAATGGCCTTTGATGAGGGCATCACAAATTGATTACATGCACATCTTGTTGTCAGTGCCTGTGCACAAAGTATGTGTAGAGGGGGGTGCACATACTTATGCATGCGTGTGTGTGTGTGTGTGTGTGTGTGTGTGTGTATGCACTCATGTGTGTGTTTATCAGGAACAAATCTGTGTTAAATTATTGGGAGAGACTTTATCTGAAGGCTGCCTCCACAGGGACTTCATATATATATATATGTATATATATATATATATATATATATATATTTCAGGCATATATGTGTCATACTGGGGACCTTCCAGTGCTGTGGCGATCAGTGTTTACCCTCATCTAACGCTTTGAATTCAGTTCAGGAAGGCCTTGCTAACTGGCTGATGAGCTGAATCAGGTGTGTTTAATGAGGCAGTGTGCTGAAGTCTTCAGAGTTTTGGCCCACGAGGACTGGAGCCTGACACATGTGACTTAAAGTCTGGAATAAAGCTCTAAAATGTGTTTTATGTAGTCATAGTTATTAGTTTCTACAATGTTCTTATGAACAGATATTATAATGTGTTATGGAATCTGACCTTATGAGGTCATATACGATAGCTTTGCAGCTAACTATAACTACTTATAAGTGATTATGCAGGCTTATGTCTGGTATTTTAATGTCTTATTAATGCATTTATAGCATGTTACGAATACTACCAAAAAGAAAAATGGGTTCAATGCTATGACAGTGATGAAACATATCTTCAGTATGTGGTGTGTAGGTGTGTGTGTGTACATGTTTGTGTGTTTACCGTATGGTTTGTCACTCTTCAGGTTGCACACTCTGCACTGCGGGTTTCGGACCGGCTGTCCCGGGACGTGTTCCACCAGTTTACAGAACATTTCCGGTTTCTTCTCTCCACACGTGGCATTAGCTGTGATTTTAGCCATGGAGGCCAAGTTTAGCACAGCCGGGAACAAACCTGCACACACAACAACACATATACACACTTTCAAATCATAACATTCTTAATGACCAAACTTTCCATATGTTAACATTGAATATTTAATCGTTATGTAGCTTGGCAACCATAGCCTACTGTTAATTACCCTGCTTGGTAGTAGAACTTCAATGCAATTATTGTTGTTAATAAATCCACTTATTTATTGAACATTGAACACTGGAGTTGTATTTTGTCAACATAATATAAAGGCATTAATCCATTTGTGGTCAAACATTACAGTGATTTTGCCACAGTGGTGGTTTATGCACCCAAGGCAATGGTTATGTTTAGAATCATAACAACCAAAATAACTATTTAAATGCATAAATAGTTAATTCAATGATAAAGTTGCTTATCCCCATACTGTAATACCCAATGTACTTGGTTCTTTAAATAACCTTTTTTGGTACTATATAGAACCTTTGTACTCCACATCTCAGATTGTACTCCACATCTAAGTGTAGCTAAAACTGTAGTAAAATCACTGTAACAATCCCAAAACCCTCATGAAGAATGAGCTGGGCAGCTGGTTTAGCTTATTAGACTGTGGCTCAATTTCCCTCCCCTGGCAGCACTCAAATGCAGGTGAGTCCATGAGCAAGATACACTATATGGCCAAAAGTATGCAGCGCACCCATATGAGCTTATTGGACATCCAATTCCAAAACACACATACATACACACATCATCTAAACCGCTTATCCTTCTGGGTCGCGGTGGGGTGCTGGAGCCTATCCCAGCTGTCATTGGGCAGAAGGCAGGATACAATTCCAAAACAGTGGGCATTAATATTTTGTGTGGAGTTTGTGTGGAGTTTGTGTGGAGTTTGGTGGTCTACCGCTTCGTAGCTGAGCTGTTGTTGCTCCTAGACACTTCTATTTCATAGTAATAGCACTTACAGTTGTCTGGGGCAGATCTAGCAGGACAGAAACTTCACAAACTGACTTGTGGCAGAGGTGGCGTCCTATGATGTGGCATGTTTGAAGTCACTGAGCTCATCAGTTCAACCCTCTACTGTCAGTGTTTATATATTGAGCCTGCAAGGCTGTGTGCTTAACTTAATCCACCTGTTAGTAATGGATGTGGCTGAAGCACTTGAACTCAATAATTAGGAGGGGTGCCCACATACTTTTGGTTATATAGTGTACGTTTGGTGATTTTGTTGCTTTTCCACACCCAACTAACCTGATGAACTAACTGAAGTGGTGAGAAAACTAACCTATGCAGCACAGGGACAGTCTAGGACTAGGACAGGGAGAAACTGGTGAGAATCAGCACTGGTATTCTGAGAAATGTGATACATATGCGCCACATGTGGGTTCTAGACTGGGCAAGAGAGTCAAGCCAAAGCCAAAACCAGACAGGCCTTGTTTAAATTCCCTAAAAACTTCTAAGACTGAAGCTGAACAGCTTCATTTGGTTTCTTTTGAGGTGGATGGAAACACTTCCTGAGCTGTCTGATGTGGGGGAAGTCAAAAAAACCGGAATAGGGCACACGACTTTGTCTCCCATGAGAAGCTGAAAGGAAAAAGAGGAGTATAACATTCCTCCTTCCATTCCATACTGCTGTCCTGTAGACTTCCTGAGCCTGATTTGGGGCTGATTTAGGAAAACACAGTCTAGTGAATGTTGAGAGAGCGCAGCGGGATACAGTGAGCAGTATTAGGGTGTGTGTGGAGAAGAGAGAGACCGTTTCTGGTCTGATTCAGAGAACACAGAGTTTGCTCTCAAAAATCACTCCCAGCTGTTGAGCCAGATGTTCCTGCAAATCTGTAGAACAACATCTGAGAGAGAGAAGATGGAACTCCTTACACGCACTCACAGATTTCACACACACATAACAAAAAACCATGGTGAACGTTTCAGCTCTACAGCTTTCAAATGTCCAGACAGTGGCAGCCAGAGGTTAACAGATGGCTTCAGGAACTTTCTGACCGAGTTTATATCCGTATAGGGAGATGTTTATAGAGAAAAACACAGAACAACAACAAAACACGTTTCTGGATTAGTCTAGAGAATGAATGATAGCAGGAAATTGTGAATGATGTTCAACAAGATGAGCAAATGTTTGAAAACAAACTCAAAGCTACATCTGTGTCCTCATTTGTTCTCAAGCAGAAAAAAATGAATCTTTTAAAGCTTGTCTGTAAAAGTGTAAACAAACTGCTTTAATTGGGGCTAAAATGTTCATTTGAACCTGAATATATTCAAAAAATATTCTGTGATCAAATTCTGTGCCAAACCGACTGTAAGCCTGAAAAAAATCTGTTTGAACCCGACTACAGTTAGACAGAATTCTGATTGAATGCAAATGTAGCCCGACACAATTCTGTCTGAACCCATCTGTACCCTGATAAAATTCTGTCTAAACCTGATTGTGACTGAAGAAATTCTGTCTGAGCTCGACTGTAGCTGACAAATGTCTGTCTGAATCAGAAGGTGGCCTTACAAAATGCTGTCTCAGTCTGACTGCAGCTGAACATATTTGTTTGAATCCGACAGTAGCCAGCAAAATTGTGTCTAAACCCAAATGTAGCTGAAGAAATTCTATCCAAACATAAATGTAGCCCAACAAAAATCTGTCTGAATGTGACTGTAGTCTTCTGTCTGAACCCGACTTTTGTTTAGCCAACAAAATTCTGAACCCAACCAAATTCTTTCTGAACCCGACTGTAGCCGACAAAATTCTGTCTGAGCAAAACTGTAGCCAAAAACATTCTGCTTGAATTTGACTGTAGCCAAGATTTCTATTCAAACATGACTGTAGCCCCAAACAATGAAACCGACTATGGAACAACAAAATTGTCTGTACCTGATTGTAGCTGACAAAACTCTGTCTGAACCCAACTTTTGTTTAGCCAACAAAATTCTGAACCCAACAAAATTCTGTCTGAAACCGCCTGTAGCCATCAAAATTCTGTCTAAACCAAACTGTAGCCGAAAAAATTCTGCCTGAATTGAACTGTAGCCAAAATTTCTATTCAAATGTAACTGTAGCCCCGAAAAAAATCTGTCTGAAGCTGACTGTATCTGAAAATATTCTGTCTGGACCCGACTGTAGAGCAACAAAATTCTGTCTGAACACATCTGTACCCAATTCTGGCTGAGTCTGATATTAGCCCAATAAAATTTTGTCTCAATCAGACTGTAGACCCCACAAAATTCTGAACCTGACTGAACCCAACAAAATTCTTTCTGAACACGATTATAGCCTGATAAAGTTCTGTCTGAACCCGACTGCAGCCAAAAAAAATCTGTTTGAATCTGATGGTAGTCAACAAAATTGTGTCTAAATCTGACTGTAGCTGAAAAACTCTATCCAAATGTGACTGTAGCCCCCAAAATTTTGTCTGAACCCGATTTTTGTTTAGCCAATAAAATTCTGAACCCAACAAAATTCTATCTGAATTTGACTGTAGCAGACAAAATTCTGCCTAAATCTGACTTTAGCCCCACAAACATTTGTCTGAATTCAACTACAGCCTGACCAAATTCTGTCTGAACCCGACGGTACCTCAACAAAATTATGCGTAAACATGACTGTAGCCCCACAAAAGTCATTTTCCAGCATGGCTCTGCACAAACATTGGCCCTGAAAACTGCTGAGGATAAGCGAGCACCTATGCTTTTACTGTGGATGAAAAATTGTATCAGTCACTCTGGTTGCTTATGCTAGCATGTATGAAAGAGGCCTAAACAATTCTTCACCCTGCAGTACTTACAAAAGAACACGACCAAAAACAACAGCGCCAGGCCTGCGTCCACTAAAACCTGCTGTGTACTTTTCCCCCTCTCTCCCAGGGCAACAGACGAGCCTGCTGTTTCAGCACTTCCTCACCACTGCTTTCTTCTGAATTTTTTATTTTTCGGTTTGTTTTGTTACCCAGTTCTTTTCAAACCTTCATCCACACAAGATTCGACCAAGACCTCTGCTGTACTTGTAGTGGGACAATACTAAGAAATAAACGGTAAAAATAAGGAAAAATTGTATTAAACTGATAAACAACACAAAGATTACGGGCATTCACAAACAACTTACACATCTCCGGCTTTCAGTGAGGCAACGGCCCTGAACTGACTCGTGGTTAATACTGATAACTAAAAATCATTCCAAGCGTGCACCGCAATAAAACAAAATAGATACTTTTGCTAATTCCAAGCTCCAATCACTCAACGTCATAGTGTTGAAAGAGAAAATATGCTGGGAAACGTCTGCAAAAAGGCCACAAATGAATGAGTTACCAAGATAATTTTCTAGAGAAAGATTGCGGAGAGTTGTTCCAAATGCTTCATATATATATTTCACAAAAATGAAACTCCCATCACTTGAATCAATAGCCTACCTGAAGGCCGTTTTGGACGTCCGCCCATCTATGTTTGTATGTGAAGCACAAGCTTCTCCTGAAAAAACTCTATTTAACTTTACCTTTTTGTTCACTCACATGCATGTTTTACATGGCCAATTATTGACTTTCCAGCAGCCACCAAAATATTTGCACAAGGACATGCATTCATATCAGAGCTGCATTCATACAGCAAATACGGCTCTCGATGTATTTGAGGAGAGAATATGTTTGAGGCAGCTGGAGAGCACAATAGAGAACCTTTACTGCTCCTGACTGAGATGTTCTGCATTCTTCCTTGTAAACTTGCTCTAATTGCTACTTAACTGATTCAGCCCAAAATTCAGAAGCAAAAGAATTTTGGTTCATCTAAGTGAGTTTTTCTCTCTGAGTCTTGGTTCCTCCCAGTGGTTCTTCTTCATGCTCTTAGGGAGTTTCTCCTTTTCAGTCTTGGTTCCTTTCAGTCGTTCTTCCTCATGTTTTACAGAGTTTCTCCTTTAGAGTCTTGGTTTCACTCCAAGGTTCCTCCTCATGCTCTTAAGGTGTTTCTCCTTTTTTCAATCTTGGTTTCCCTGAGTGGTTCTTCCTCTTGCTCTTTGGGAGTTTCACCTTTTGATTCTTGGTTTCTCTCAGATG